ATGATGGGAATGGTACATTTGGAGGAAGTTGGTGTTTTGCTCACTATTATTTTATATGCTGGTAAAAGTTTTGAATTTCTTTCCCCCATTTCAATAAGTGCTTATGTCCAGATGAGTTGGATTTGCCATGTTATGATCTTAAATCCCATGCCTCATCAGAAGAATAAGTAGCAAGGCACCAAACACCTGTGGTTCTTTTGCTAGTTGTCACAGAATATGATGCATTTGTTTCAAGTATCTATATTCTTTGTACTCTTTTAAATTTGTGGTGCTTTTATAGGTTTTGTTCTATTACTGTAAAGCATGGCAAAAATTAGGGATGCTCAGGAACTTTGTTTGGTCTGCATTTTCAAGCAAATTGACCTCATTTGAACTAATACATGGATCAGAATGCAGTTATCCTTTGGTTTCCATACTACCCTGAATTTTGTGATGCAGCTTTCAACTTTAAAAAGCACCAAAATGTATATTCAATATATACAATAATTCATGTTTGTGCCTTCATATGCATATATTTTTTGAAAAATATGTGCAGAAATAACATGAAGGTTCAAATATGGTTTTTAAAATTACACGCAAAGCTTTCAGATTTATATAGAAATGGGGCAAAACAGATTTATGAATGAATCCATGCAAAAGTGATGCAAGCCACCCCTAATTTAAATGCAATACATTTTTGTATGCTCATAAGTTAGCAAGAGGAGCATGTGGTGAATAGAAAGGTGCCTTCTCTCTATAAAGATCTGTATCAATTGTTTATAACTATAACTCACTCAGTAGTTGTCTTGCTAGGGAAAAGTACATGTGGTATCAAGCAACAATCCCATGCTGGTCCTTTTAAAAATGGTTCACCTTGCTAAATAATGGAAACAAGGAGTGGAAAACTAGAAACACGGAGAGGAAAAGTATTAGGGAAAGTTTAGTTTTACATTTCCACACTCAAAGTCACTTCATTTTGAAGATAAAACATAAGCCAGATATTTTTAAAAAAATATCGCTGCTAGGACTTAAAAGCTGCTAGAAATAAATTGACACATGTCTGCAGCTAATTACAAAAAACAAACACTGACTCTTTCCAAGCCTGTTTATATAAATTGCAAAATACCCAACAAAGCTTCTTTGTGTAAGTCCATTAAAAACAGTGAGAATCCATTTAGTCTCTAAAATAATAATCTGAGAATTCCATTCATTATTATACTTGAGGGTGCTTTATGATGGAAGGATGAGTGGGAGTTCATGTGGATGGAAGCAGAAAAAGAGCCCAGAAGGATATCGAGCACACTTTTCAGATGGTGTTCATTTTCAGTGGTGTGATAAGCATGAATCACCTAGCTGAAATTTCTCCTGTAAGACTTGGATGTGTTTTACAGTTGACATCTGCATAGCCGTACATGGGGGTGCAATGTGGAGAATATCTCATATGTTGCTTTGCATTGCTTAACTCCCAACTTTGTCTTTGCATAAGGCATTGAGAATTTGTAGTTCTGGCAGTATCTGTATAGAGAATTCAACTGCTTATATACTATCTCTTTTTTCCTAGTCTCCCACTCTTTGATTTATTGGTATACTAGAATTCTGTTGTAGAATTTTTGTTGGTCTGATGTTCTTACAGTGGTAACTCGGGTTATGAACTTAATTCGTTCTGGAGGTCCATTCTTAACCCAAAACCATTCTTAACCTGAGATGCGCTTTTGCTAATGGGGCCTCCTGCTGCCGCTGTGCCGCTGGTGCACGATTTCCGTTCTCATCCTGGGGCAAAGTTCGTAACTCGAGGTACTACTTCCGGGTTAGCAGAGTTTGTAACCCGAAGTGTTTGTAACCTGAGGTACCACTGTATAACCATCCAGGGGGCACCTGCACACTTTCTACAATATTTATTAAACCTTTTAGTGTTCCTTAGAAAAAAATTATTCCACCTCCTTCTGTTTTGACCCTCCCCAACTTCCTTTCATTTCCCATCACCAATGAGGCAAAGTAGCAACCATCCAGCATGCCACTGTTGCTTTTTACAGGGACAAAATCCAGTGGTGAGCCTATCGTGGTAAGGTTATGATTTGATTTGATTTGATTGGTCTGGGGAGGTGTTCAAATGACACCACACAAGTTGAAGATATGTGTGAGCAGGGTTGTAGAACTGTGGAGCTTGGGCCCACTCCTGCTATGATCAGGGACTGTGCTCATATGTGTTCACTGAATGTTAGGAGGGCTCTGCACGTATAGTGACTCCTGCCATACAACGGGGCACCCTGCCCTAGATCCCCAAAGGACACTGGCCTTAGGTAATATGAAAAGTGGTCCAATTAATGCTAACTTCTCACAATCCTGATGTGGCGTCACTAAATCTTGAACCATAGTTGGTGCAGACATGTCCAGAGTGGGGCTGATTGCTAGGGAGGACTAAATAGGAGAATGGGACATAATGATGAACTTAATTTTAAAATTTCCTTACAATATGTTTCATCTGTTAAAAAGTATATGCAAGAATATGTATCAAAAGAAATGCATGAGGATTGATTTCTCCCTGTTCAGACATTATGGTACTCCTGTGGTCATAATACCATTCACCAGCTCCTGTATCATGAACTATCACATTAGTCCCAAGATTAGGCATGGCCAAATTGTAGTGTTTACATTACAAGCTTCTGCTGCTGCTGATTCTCTTGTGTCAAGGTGCCAGGTTGATAATAATGGAGTCTGATGTCACAGCGGCAGCAATGTGTATTTTGTTATGACTGTTGTCTTCAGAGATTTTCTGTAAACTTATCTGTCATATATTTATAGAAAGTCTCTGTAACCAGCATTATTTGTGTGTGAGTGTGTTAGATAGCAACAATTGTTCTATACAGTATTGTCCTGTCTTTTCCTTTGCTTCCTCACAAGCCCATATGCAATGTAAATAACCTCTTGGGTGGGGGGAAGAAGAACCTGCCTGTGTGTGGTATTCCATGCCCAAAATACTGAGAACTGTCTTTATTAATACACTTTAATGGCAGACAAGGGCATGATTCACTGTCTTGTCATGTCATACCGAAAGTTGGCAGTAGTATTAACAAATTGTGGTACTGTGTCACGGTTACCTTTTGACAGCTTAATTAGTCTCATTTGAAGGTTTCCGTAGATTTTCAGAGCAATGTGCAAAAGACAGAGCTAAGTTAGTAAGGAAAAGGTGGAATTCACTGTAGCTTCAATAACCTTTTTGACCCATGTTTATAAAATAAATTCTTTTCAGTATGCTTCACAAGTGTATACATTACACACAGGATCTTGTAATAAGAGAGAACTTGTTGCAAATGCTGTGACCTTCAGTAAACTGCAGAAAGATGATTCTTCTAATCAAAGGCAAAAGCCATGATCTTCTCTGTTGTAACTGACTGTTGACACAAGAAAGGCCAGAGAGATTGACATCAATCTCTATAGAAACCATTAACTGAAGCTGAATAAATCTTCCGCATTGAATCCATATGCATGCTTGCTTTTATTATTCTTGACCTATTGGCACACTTCTGTATTTTGCGGGCTTTGTTTTAAAGGGCTGTTTAAAGCACAGATGTTATTATGTGATTTCATCAGTGAAATAAATAGTTTTGGTTGTCTAAATAAAGAAATTGGTAATCTTCTCTCTCTTTTTGCCTCTACCAAGCATTATTTGCTTAGGAGTGGCTTGGTTTGGCTCCAGATTAGCACACAATGAAGACTGTTACTTTAGCTGGATGTAACAAAACCAAGGAGTTTTTGTTCATGTTTTCCAAATGATGTGCAAGTAATGTGTCATTTGACTCTAACTGGGCTTTCACTGGTTTGTGGTCTCTTTCTACTATTTAGAGCATTAGCAATTACTGAGACAGTTGAATTTCCCTCCCTTCTGCATGTTTTTTAGATTCCCCACTGATTCCTGAAACTTGCACCAGTCATAACCACAAAACAATTGCCAGACCTGTAGAAAGAGTAGGCACTGTTAATCTATAGCTACAATGTGTCAAACACCATTTCCTTAATTTGGCCCTACAGAAATCTTATTACTTGTTCCGAAGTATAAGGAAACAAAAATGCTTTTCATTTCATTCTGAACGGTACATTTTCCAGTTTGAGTGACTAAAACTGGCGAGGATGCCTATTTTTGGAAAGAGGAATAAAGATACTTTGGAGAAAGTAGTGCACTGTGTGCTGACATTCCAGATGTCCAAACTATAGTAGTACCAGACCAAGTTCCGCCCCCCCGCCCGTGTGTGTGTGTGTTTGTGTGTGTGTGTGTGTGGAGCCTTTCATGCCAATGATGATCTCATGAGGTCCAGCCTAGAGAAATAAAGACATTGTTGAAGAACTGTGCTTGAGAATGGGCTCCTTCCTTTCATATTTCTATTCAGTGACCCCCAGTGTTCTGCTCTTTCCTGTCTCGGACAAAATTAGCTCTTTTATAATTAACAATTGTTTAGCTTTTGGCTTGTCTTTTAGACTTTATTCTTAGAGCTTCTTTTCACCCATCTCCTTATTGTATCCTCTCAAACAGAAAAACTTGTGATATTTTCTCGTTGGCATTCCTGTCCTTCCCTTGCTGGCTTTTTTAATGTGGACTGTGGGAGATTTTACACTTGATTTGTTGAATCTGAACTCTGCTGTAAACTCTCACCACACAGAAGAACCTATCTTTATAAATGACAGAATGGACCTGGCCTGAATGGTGCTTTGTTTACTGTTTTCCTAAAAGGGGCCCCTCTATATTTCATCTGTCAAAGTTGCTTTTCTTTCTTTCAACAATGCTTGATTGTTTTCACAAAAATTCAGGTTCCATAGACAGGAGAATTCTGTATTATATTTTCCTGCCAAATTCCGATCTCTGTTTTCCTTCCCCTGTGCTCACAAAGGGCTCATAACTTACTGTCAACTGTGAGGCAAACCACAAAGCTCCACTGTTGCTCAGCAAATAGGCTCTATTGGATGATGGCTTGACTGGCTGTAAAGTTTGCTTAACTGTAGCAGCAGTGGCAGAAGGCATGTGGGGTACTCTGTGTCTCCCAACAGGCCCCCAATTCCTTTATGTCTTCCACTTGCTTTTATGTCTTTATCAACTTTAATCGCTGAAGAGAGTTGTCAGTCCTTTGTGCCACGAACTGGATGCTGCTGCTGCTGCTGCTGCTGCGCTCCTTATGGATAGCTGGGGTACCCTGAGAGTTGGATGAGGTTAATTCAAAGTGATTTCCTGACACTTGACAGTGGTTCTTTGTGATCTGGGAAGGTGTCTGAGGTGTTGTCAGAGGTGTTATGCCATCAAGTTCTGAAGTGCTGGCTGAGGTGGTAGGAGACAGCAAGACAGAGAAGTGGAAGAACAACCATCCTGTGTGAGTGTTATATGTGTGTGTCTATTATTAGTGGCTGTTATTTTGTCCATCACTCTCTGAGTGCTGCTTAAACCGACTCAGGACTGTCAACTCAACTTAAACATTTTAGAAATGACAATAACCTTTCTTTTTATGTTCTATTTTGTTTTGGGAAGACAGTGTATTTAGAGTCCTTCCTTTAATTTTGGAGTTTTGTGAGGTATGGCAACTCTCCCTAAAGCATTCAATTTTTAACTCTTTAGAGCACTTGCAAATATTTTACTGGGAAAACTATTGTATTAAATGAATCACAACAAAAAGTGAAAAGAAAGTAATTTATTTTTGAAATATTAAGGAATTAAGCTTATTTGAGCTTCATTAAAAGGCAAAAATATCACAATTTTCTTTTTGTGATATTTTGCCTTTTAATGAAGTGTGTTCTGTTACTTGATAGTAAGTATGGCAACATAAATTTTTCAGTTAGTACATTTTGAATATTTACCAGCAAGCTCTTAATATTATTTACATAAAGACTCAGAGAAGGACTGTTCTGCAGCCTGGAATTTCATACTGAACAGATTAAACGAAATGAAATATAAAGGATCATTTCCCCCCCCCAAATGGAGTTAAAAGAGTTATTTCAAAACTGAAATCTTATATTTTGCTGTTAGGCTTCCTGTTATATACTATCTTGATAGCTTATTGTAATCAATAAAAAAATCCTTGCAGTTGCCAATGTAAATGCTATTATCACTTTTGATTTTTAGTCAGTGCAATTTATTTTTACAAGCAACCCTTCATTCATAGGTTTGTTTTGTAAACATACATTTCATATGCTATGCTGCACTCCTGTCGTCACCTACCTGGGAGTAAGCCCATTGAATTCAGTTGGACTTGCTTCTGAGTAGGTATGGTTAGGATTGCAGCCTTCCTTGAGCTAAGGGTAGCAGCTATGTTTAACTGATGTTGGTCATGATCTGCATGGGCAGTCAGGCACATTTTGCAGGAATTTGCTGCTTCAGTGCCAACAAATATTCTTCAGCATCACCTTCTGTTTTTGGTGTGATTGAACTTGTAGTGGAATGAAGCAATTTGATAATGATTAAAAGGAAGAGGTATGTGGAATTTATAAAGTTTGCTTCCTTAAAGAAAAGTATCAAAATGGAAATATATTGTTCAGTTACAGAGACTATAGTCCTATGCACACTGGGAGTCAGCCGTACTGAACTAAATTAGACTTATTTCTGAGTAGACATGCTTCAGATCACACTGATACTGTGTCTTAACTTGCAAATTATAGTTTTACAAGTGTGGTCTTTTTCCCCTGGAGCAGTTGCTAGAACAGGGGCTGAAGCCATATATGAAATAGACTAGGGGTGCTATTTCACAGGCGAAAAATTGGTAATTGGCTATTTTTATATGCTCATTCATTAAAGAGATGTTGATTTAAATATTGTCAATGAATGAGGAAAGATCAAAACCCACAAAGAAACTCCAATAAACCCCCAACCTAAGAAGCCTGCTCAACTCTATTGCTCATCCTGATTGCAATTGTTTCCCTTCTCTAAAACAAGGAAGATAAGTAGCCAGTAATAGTTGCATTGAAAATTTTTATCCTGTATGTCTGGAAATTACTTTAAGACCAGTACAGAAAATAACAAAAATTAATAGGAATAAAAAACTATATTGATTTGACTTCTACGTCAGACTTGGCCCTTTGTTGGGGTAAACGCATAATGATACATATGTTGAATGCAAAAGCTGAATCTATAAGAATCCTACCTGCTGACGCACTCTCTTCTACCCAAATCTTGCTACAAGTCAATACTTTTGGTGATCCTACCAGTATGAGCAGAAGCTTTGGTGATTACCCTGCCCCCATTGTATAAGTTTAATATCTAGAAAGGAGCAATAGGGAAATATAGGATTCCACCAGTAGAATACAGAAGTTGTAATATACATACAGATTGGAGGGTTAATATGGGAGAAAAATATATGGCATTATAATATAATATAATATAATATAATATAATATAATATAATAATTAATATAATTAATATAATTAATATAATATAATATAATATAATATAATATAAATGTAATGTAAAACTTTAGAGGGTTCTGCAGGTGGCTTATGTTCACGTTGATTTCTAATCAAGCCAATTATATATAAATTTGCAATTCAAGCCCTACCAGAAAGCCAGCTGAAATGCCTTAGAAAGCAGAATAAGTTCCACTCCACTGGGGTAGCAGGAGATCCATCTGGGGGTGACACACTGCCAGAAGTAGACTGGTGTCTAGGTAGGAAGTATTAGCTGTGTAGATTTCCCAGAGAAAACCAGGCTTGTGGGAGCAGGTGTGGCTCTGCCAGTTGCAAAGCCCCCTCAATTCCCAGCATGTCCATGGAACTGAGAGTACCCCAGGGCTGGCATAGTCAATTGCCTTTCATTGCAGTCAGTGTGAGGGATAAAACTGTCTCCCCCCAGCCCCATTTCCTGCTTTGGCCATAGTGAAACATTAGTTCAGTGAATCTGGTAGCTGCTTTGCCTACAAGACAGGATTGCTCTGCCAAATGGCTAACTAAAATAACCCAGCTCTCATCACTGATTGCTAAATAGGTTTGATATAGCTTTTGGAAAATGTCCCAAGCTCAGGCTGGGTAACTGGAGAGCACCCACCAGAGCACCCACCAGGAATACTTCTCTGGACATTCACAGGGCACTGTCATAAATTTCCCCTGATATTTATTATTTTATTTATGTCTCTGATGGATTCTAGAGACACTCCAAATATCAGTAATGGACCAAAGTGTGCTTTTTGAGCCATTTGTTCATTTATAAAATTTATATTTTGTCCTTCAGTGGTTGATCAGAATTTATAGGGTAGTTTCCAAAGAGTTAAAAAAAAGAACAACAAATATTACAAAAGAAATAAAATAGGGCAATCAGAATAAAAAAGTGTTTTTAAGACAAGAAGAATTATAATGCCTTACTTGCCTCCCACAATGAGTTGTAGACCTCTTTCTCTGTCTCTCTTTCTCTCTCCATCCCTCTGAATGGAGGAGTTGTCATTTTAGAAAAATTAAGTAGGTGCTTAATAGTGTGCTAAATCAAGTACAGCAGGATGATGTGGGAGCCATAGAGCCTGCTTTCTAATTCTAAAAATAGGGGGCATGTGACCACTTCAAATTTACCAGTTGATTAGATTTGGCATGCTCAGAGGGAGGAAATTTTGCCATATGGATGTCCCAAGTGAGAATATGCCTATTGCTCTGACTACTTGAGTTCATAACTATGTAATATAACTAACCTACGTTTAATTCTGCCTACTCTTGCCCAACACTGTTTCTAGGGTTTCAGCATTTGTATGCAATGTTGTATGAAGGGAAGGTAGCAGTTCACACAATGGATCTTTCCCTCCCCCCCATGCCCCTCCCCCCATAAAAAACTTATCGAAAGGACTGGGGAACCTACCAAACATTTTAGGATATGTTTTAGTGGGCTGCAGTAGTGAAAAGAGTCCTCCATCTGATTTGGAGTGATTTCCCCTCCCTCTTGTAACACACTCCACGTGTTCAGAATGGCCCTTGATCCTATGGAGAGGCTTTTTGAGGGGTACTGGGGGAAACAGGTGGGAGGGGAAAATCCATTGTGTGATCTCGGCTTTCACTCATGCAACATTGGATGCAACCCACAGATTTTAAGTTACTTGGTTCTGTAAATCAGCAAAGTTTCATAGTATCCGCAGTTATCCTTCAGTAGACTCTTTCTCTTGTGCTGCCTCAAGTCACTGGTTTTCAAACTTTCTGACGTCAGGGAACGCTTTTCATATTGACTTTGGTGTCTCTCTACTGATGGAAGGAACTTTTGATCCAGCAGGGCCTTCTATGAGGAGAACAGGGACTGAGATGACCTACAGTGATTTCCCCTCTCCTCCCCACAGAATTCTCCCACATTATTCTGAAGGCTCCACTAGGCCTTCTGAAGCAGATGTGGGAGGACTTCAGAGAGAGGGAGCTGATGAAGATCACATCAATTCCTGTTCTGCAAATGGAAGGTTCTGAAGAGCCTTCTGTCAGCTGACAGATACCAACTGGATACAGCCCATGGTTGATCCATTAATCATTGCACCGAGTCATGTGGTCATGATGATTTGGGTAGCAAAATTTCAAAAGGAGGCAGTAAAGCCCACTGCTTTTTCACTGCAGACGTCTCTTGCAAATGGATAGATGGCTCATAAACCATAAGAATTTGACTGCCAAAGTAATCAACATACAATGAATATTATATGTTGTTTACTTTCCTATAATAAATTATTTGTGGTAAACACAAGTGGAAAAACTATTACGTACAACAGAGAGTCCTAAGTGAAAAATTGACAACACTGGGGAAACTACAGTTCTTTCCTTTCAAATACAGATCATATGTTGAATCCTAAAGACATAGGAAAAATCAGGTCAGAGATGAAAACCACAATAAAGAACAATTTTATTTTCAGCTCTTTTGTACCACATCAGGCACAATGAGGAAACATTTCAGTTGTCTTCTGTTGTATAAGGAAGAACCAACTTTAAAGTACTAACATCCAGAGCTTGTTAATTTGAATTAACAGAAAATTGGATTAACAAGTGTTAAGCTTGTATTTTGAACAGTCCTGTCTTCAAAAGTGTTACTGGTGAAAATTATTTTAAAGCTACATTCTCTGTGCTCTTGTGAAATATCTTGCTTTTAATGTAATGAATGAGTTTTTATACATGATGTTTGTTGCATGAATGTGCATTAAAATAGAAGTAGACAGTCGGACAGATTTTCACACATCTCTCCTTCAGGAGTAGGATATGGACAAGGCAGTTCTTCCTGGCAGTGTGCCATGTTGAAATGATTCTTATGTTTCTAGCTTGTTCAGTCCTATACACTTGTCTGGTTTGCACAACATGGTAAGACAAATTATGGCTTACTGGGACCATGCAAACATGTGGGCTCCCAGACAGGAGTTCACACCCACTTAGCTGCACTCCCTG